CACTAGCACTGGCCACGACACCAGTGTATCCATGACTTATATGAAGCTTTTCTAGTAGTGTTTGTACCTTAATATTTCCGGCTCTTTTGATAGCTTCAACAAGTTGGAGCTGCAGCAAAATGTTGTGACTCCGAATATGTACCCCAGATATGGGGCAGATGACAACATCAACAAGCTTGACAGCACGGACAAGGCTTTCCAGATCAGAAAATGAGCCCTCCACAAGGTGAGCCCCTTGCTTCTTGAATGCCAAGAGCATTTGGAGCTTATCAATGTCAAGGCCAATCTCTGGCCTTCGAAGAACATACGTTGGGTGGGCTTGGGATAGGCTTGCAGAAACAATCCTACGCCCCAGGAACCCAGTACCACCAACCACAAGCACCTTGCTCTTTTCCATATCGATCTAATTGTACCACTTTTCCCTCTGAATGTGTATGTATATACCTATATACAGACACAAGAAGAAAAACATGGACAAAAATGTCGAATCAACGGACTACATACTACATCATGGACTAGAATATTCCACCTATTAAGAAAAATGTCAAACGATGACATTGCACCAGCAAAGCTTGTCTAACCCACTCCACGAAGGCCACAATTTTCTTATAAAAAAATATATACACTACGAGAAAAGAAGGTAATAGTCACGTTTTTTGAGTTAACAAATTGATTTCGGTGACAGTGGGTGGGTGGCTGCTCAATGGTTTTGCTTGCCTGTCATTATTTGTGCTCAACTCTCTCACATTTTAATTTATTCATTACATATGATTTAAATATAAAACCACTTTATTGTCCTTGACAGCTAAAGATAACTTTTCAATTTTCCCGAGTAATTAAACCCAATCAAATATTTAAGAAATGTATTTTACTTTCCAATACACATTTTAAACTGTCTCTTTTCTCTCTACCTCTGGAATGTCCCACGTCTGTTTTTATCTTCCAAGCGTATGATATGAACAGTATGGCCATGGCCCACACTCAACATTTTTTTATTCTTCCTTTTTCTTTCCTTTCCTGCTCTCTCTCTCTCTCTCTCTCCTTTATTTTTTTTTGGCCTTGCCTTATGTATTTGCACAGAGACAGAGCTTGGATTCGGATTCAGGAATGGAAATACTGCTGACTTTGAACAATATGTTGTAAAATTGGCTAATATAATCTTTTAAATGATCCCCAGAGAAGATAGAGTGACCTTCCAGTAAGCTCTCGTTCGCTAGTCCACCGCGCCCCTACTATCTATCTATTAAGGGTGTCACCCAGAAAAGCTTTTACCGGGGTCAGAGTCCACTCTATCATAGGCCTTAGCCATATCAAATGTGCTCGGACTTGTTTAGTCATAAGTCAGTATAATAGGCCGTTGCGGGAAGAGGTGTTGAGACGTTTTATTTTTCCTAAGCAAAGATCGATGCTCCTGCAATCACAAGCAAGTCACTCTCTCGACAAAACAGAAAGCCAAAGCTGCAAGCCGGGAATGATTGACTTAATAAATACAAAGGTAATTAGAAATTGATATTTTTTTTAAGGAATATAATACACAAGCTATGCACTCACTTATTATACAAATATAAATACGAGAATTAATATCTGTCAGTTAAATCAAACAAAATAATAAAATATTATGATTTGACATGATGTTCAACTCTTAATTGCATCTAGAAAGTCAATAATTTGTGTCACCAAATTTTCTCCTTTGTAACAAAGAGCAAACATTACAGACGCATATGTAACGAACACTCTAATTGTAACTGCATCATGATAGTTGGCTTTTGTCACTCAAAATCGTAACTAATAGGGGCAATAGTCACACAAAAATATAGTAACTACTGCCCTTCATTTTTTGGTAGTGATATGACCAATTTTTACATAATGTCATCACAAAGCTTGGTATGCATTAAACAAAAACAAAAAAAAGCAAAAAGTAAAAAAAGGAAGAAAGAAAGAATCATTAAGATATGTTTTGGAAGAAGTACTCTCGAGAGATATTTTCCCAACAAATAAATGAATTGGTCCAAATAGAAAACTTTGGGCAATTTGCATAAATACCATATGAACTTTAGTAGTTCCAGGATTCGAAAGTTAGTTGGGCAAAACTTACATACTAAATTTGACGGTACGAGTGAATTTCATTAATAAACATTAAAAAAATATACATAGTCAGAGAGGACATAATGAGCCTTACCCTCAAATGCATTTCTATCCATAAATAAAAGTTCAACAAATATGAAAACTAAAACTAAAACTAAAACCAAAAGTAAAAATGCAATACAAAATAAAACAAAACTATTTTAAATCTAAAATTTAACCATGCAAGGGTTAGAACTCTTAAATTTCTCAATTATCAATGCATTGGCAAACTCCCTTTCATCCTTAAATAAACCCTACAATACTCAATTTTAAATTAAAACTATAATTAAAGATATATAGAAAATAAAGGGAGAAAGAAGCTGCTCATGTCGGGTAGCTAAGAGAGAGAGAAACAAGAAGATGTCGCATAGCCCAAAGGGAAGGAGAGAGAAGACGTGAGACCCCCTGGATGGGCAGCATGTGTGTAGGGTTTGCTTTTATTTTTATTTTTTAATTTTGGACTGGACTTATAACATATATAGGTTTTTTTTTATTTATATTTTTTATATTTTATAAATTTGGGAGGGGCGAGCACCCAACCTGCCATGTGCACAGAACCGCCCTTGCATGTGTGTCATTACCACCTGATCTTTTAATAATTTTTATTTTTAACCACCTGAACTATTTAAAGTGTTGCAATCCACCACCTACGTCTAACTTCTTTAAAGTTTCGGGACATTTCCATCAATTAATTATAACTAAAAATAATTAAAAACGTATTAAAAAAAAAGTTAAGTTAATTACACCAGACTTCCCCTAACCCTTACTGACGCCAATTGTTGCGCACCCCATGTATGTACACCGTAGTTAATCTTTTGACAGTTTCAGGTCTTGCCAATTCATGTCTCCAGAAGTCTATATGTATTTTTTCTTCTGTTTTTTTAAATTCTGGTCTTGCCAATTGAATAGTAGTTATATACATTATTTAAGTCTGAATTAGAGCATGCACATGCATGATGCATGTGGCTTGACAGACAGCAGGGATGGAAGACCAGGAAGACCAAGTTGATCGATCAAGTGGGTTTTATATTTATCCAGAAAGAAAGGAAAAAAAAGGGGGGCAAGGATCTCAAGTGGTTATACCCTAGGAATCTTAAACCAATTCTAGTTTTGGCAAAAAGTGACATATATATATATAGAAAGACAAAGGTTGAACTAGTCTAATACTGCTCTTAGCCACACATCTGCCTGGCCAAGTTGCCATCCAGCTAATTGTTGCGATTGATGATATATTTGATAATATGACTACCGGTGGCAGCCTAACATACAGGAAAAATATGGTAGATATGTGGACAAACATTTGACAGTTCGACAAGCGTTTTGGTTGACCTCATACAGCCTAATATAGACAGGCATCTTCGAATATTCATCTATGAAATATTTGTTATTCATGCCTCGCCCTAGCCAAGATCGGTCCTGAGATTTAGAGGATCCTGTGCAAAATTTAAATTAGAGCCCTCATATAATCTAATTTTTGATACGACTCGTTACAGGGCTCAAAATTCGCACCGAAAAAACACGACTCAAACCTGCACAATTAATAATTGAGTAATTATTAATGATGGTAGATTTTTACTCTAAGGACATGCAAGAGTAGCTGGAGGCCTTGGATAGACCAGGTAAACGTGCTCGAGGAGATTTAAGTTTTGCTAAAGCTAAGAAAGTGATGAGCCCCAACAAGTGGTGCGTGAAAACACGAGAGAGGAGATCCAGAGAGCCAAACTAAAGTCTTCTATTGTGGAATCAAAAAGTGCACCATGATGTTGTTGTTTTTAAAAAATTAATGTAGTCCCTTGTTTCCTCTCTTTATTTAATGTGAAATAAATATTTTGTTAAAATTTTTTAATTTTAACGACACAAATTAATGTACTTATCATCCAACTATAAATACCCACAAATGTACAAATCTATTGGAAACTACAAACGGGCTATTAACCAGGTAACCTATTTAATAACCTGTTTAAGACAACCTGACGACAAGACATGACACGATACGTTTATTAAATGAGTCAGATTGAGCATTCTTGACACGTTTATTATCTTGACACGACAGCCTATTGTCAGGCCTAATCTAATATAAAAATACTATAAAAAATTTGCCATGACTTAATGTAATAAAACAATTTTTTATAACTAAAATTCATCATCAATTAGCATGTAATAACAATCACAAATCAAATTCATAATTTTTTTTTAATGTATGAAGAAAGTACGTTTTTTTTTAGGAGAAAGCGAATGGATGTGATATATACTACTATTAGGGCTCATTTGGGACTGCTTATGTAGGAAGCACTCAGGCTCACAAAGCGCTTCTAGCAAAAACACTTTTATTATATAAATGTTGAAATTTTCATAAGAAATGAAAGTGCTTCATGGAAAAGCACTTGGGAGTGCTTCCTGAAGAAGCACATGGCAGATGCTTCTCCAGAAAGCGCTTTTATGGCCCAGAAGCACTTCTAAACTTTTCTGTCAAATGTTGTCAGAATCGCTATTGGTTATTAGAAAGCACTTTCAGAAGCACTCCCAAACGTAATTTAGTTGCGAGGGGGAGTCATGTGTCACATCTAGGGTTTCTTCTGGAGTCCAACAGCCGTCTTCTCGTGTTCAGTTGTCGTAGCTGTCTCTCTCCTGCCCAGTCCCTCTTTCAGTCACCGTCATCGCGCTCTTGTAGGCCCCGCCTCATCGCCTTCCTATTCTCAGTCCACCCTCATCCATGTTCTCTCTTTCCATACAACGTCACCCTCTCTCCAGTCCGCCATCGCTATGCCTCTTCCCAATTTTTGGGGTCTAGTTCAATCACTCTCGAATTTCCCTCCCTTGTTGTTCGGTGGCTTATTTTCCTTGTGTTTTAGGCCTCTTCTCCTCTGGCCGCAACCATGTCTATGTTAGTTCCTGGCTATCTTGATCTGGTTGTGCTCGTTTCTGATGGTGATACCTTGGTTTCTGGGGTAGACTTCATGGCTCCTAAGCGCCTTTGCATTAATGCCTATTATGACAAACCTATGGAGACCAGTCTAGTGGGGTCTCCAGGGAACCTTCCTTAATGTGTTATTGGACATTCGTGGTTAAGTGGCTGAGGCTAGTTTTGTTATTGTTGTGTTGTATTTCTCAGTTCTTCTCTCAACAGACCTCGATTCTTCTCTTGTGTTGCTCCCTGCAGACTTCTCTATTCTCAAGGCCATTCGTTATTGGAGGTTGATAGAGCTGGTGTGCTTTGTGGGTTCTATCTATCTTTTTTGGAGCTTTGGTGTGTTCTTTGTTAGATGCAGGGTTGAATGCTCTTAACTACTTGAGCTAGAAATCCGTTGATAAACATTTTCGATATATGAATGCCTATAGTGGTAAAAAGTGATGTTTAACTTAATTTATTAATTTTTGCCTTTAATGTTACCATCTCCATAAATAAGCACTTTTTCCTTTGGAGGGAAGAGTGTTCCCATCTGAGAAAGGTTGCCGGCAAAGTAGCTGGCGAAGGCGGCGCCACATACATAAGTGAAAGGGAGTTGAGCATCTTGAATTGTCATTCTCACTATCGTTTTCTCATCAAATGTAACTCTTCCAGGTTCAAGTGCATGTCCTATACGTGTTGGATCAAAACCGAACTCTAATGGCAAGAAACGCTGCACACAAAAAGCCAGTGAAACAAAGAGAATAAGAAATACAGTGTGTTTGTATTAGGGGTGCACATTATTACCGAAAACCCGACCGAACCAGCCGAACCGGACCGGTTTTGGCGGGTTGGTCTGGTTTTTTTATTCAAATTATTGAAATCGGTAGGAAAACCTGCCGACCCGAGTGTGAACCGGTTTGAATTTTTTTAAACCGGCGAAACCCGAACCGGACCGATTTCATTAAATTGCCTAAAAATTTAGACAAATGCCATGATGGGGAATCAATCTCTGCTCACAGTTAATATATAAAGCCCAAATACCACTGGACTGATGTGCCTTCTTGTGTAATGTGTGTATAATTGTATTATTTATTACAATCTAAACATTTTTTTTTAAAGTTAGGGTTTTCCCTGCCCCACACACTCTTCTTTTCTTTTTCTTTTCTCCCACCCCAGCCGACATCCCTTCTTTCTTCTGTTTCTCTCCATCTTTTTTTCTTTCCTCTTCCTCCCGCCGCTGCATCTTCTTCTTTTTTTTTTTTGGATAAATAGCTGCATTTTCTTCTTCTTCTTTCCCTCTTCTCTCCATCTTCTTCTTCTTTTCTTCTTCTTCCTCCCCATACCCTCAACCAGGAAGTGGTCCTTAATCTTAGTTCAATCCTCTGCCATCGATGCTCACCGAACCAAACCAAACCGCACCGACTTCTCGGCGTGCCGATTGTAGTCGGTCTTGCATCTCCTCGGCGCAGCGGCGGTCTCCAAAATAGGTGCGCCGATGACCTCCGGTTCGGTGGTCGGCAACTCCTCCAAGACACGGTTATCGAACCGTGAACAGCCCTAGTTTGTATCATGCTTAGTGTTCTTTTAAGTATTTAATTTGGAAATTAATAAGTTAGGGGAATTAACAAGGACAATGAGCCTTTGTACCCAAGTTTTGAACCGTGGTAAATTAAATTAATAAGTTTAGTATCAAATAATATATAGGACTCACTTTGTTTCTTTTCATATTGAAGACTTGGAATATCACTATTAAGTTAACCACCCACCACCATGACCTTCGATACCATAAGCCACTTTTTCTTTGATTCTCTTCCTTATCAGGAAAAAGTTAAACCACTTCTTAAGCAAAACCATATCATTTCTATTAATGGTAACTAGATACTTACAAGTGCCACCTGACTCAAGCAATAATGAAAAATAAATAGAAGGTGTACTCACTACAAAAAAAGTGGCAACAGTCACCATTTTGTCACCAATTTTGGTGACTGTTGTGGGGGTTACTAAAGGCTTTAATCACATTTTTTGACTTTTTTTGTGACTAAAAAGGCTTTCAGTCACCTTTTTTGCTTTTTTTTAGTGACTAAGGCCTTTAGTAACCCCCACAATAGTCACCAAAATTAGTGACAAAATGGTAACTATTGCCACTTTTTTATTTGTAGTGACTCTAAAAATGAAAGGTACCTATAAAAATAGATAAAATATTGTCGCTACTGAGAGTTTGAAAAAACTTTTCTGTATGACCGGAACACCGGTAGGTGAAGAAATTTTTGGTGTGAGCGTCACAATCAATCCATTTATCTTATAACGTGTGTATATATCTATTTATTAATAGTATATCCTCAATCTCTTAAATATATCGATGTCATTCACCAATATTATAACACTTGAGTTTTGTAACACCACGTGTCGGGATGACATTATAACCAATAATTTTGCCATCACACGGTGTTACTAATCCATATGATAGAATATAAATGAATAACGTGTTTATATTTTAGGTATAGGATATTAATTAAGTTCAAAAAAAACTAAAACATGATGTGTAGTAACATGTGAGTGAAAACGCACACGGAGCAAATGAACATCCATCCATTCATTTGTAAATTGTATATATGCCTATTACACATATATTATTTTTGGAGATCGATCACTAATACCTTAATATTTCAGTCTTCTTTGATAGCTTGAACAAGCTTGAGCTGCATCAAAATCTTTTTGGACGCTAAATCTTTTTGGCCAATTGGGTGGATTCTTCGGAGTTAAATAATTGATGAGTCGAGCTGATTTGGCAACAAAGTCGTCCTTTTTAGTGTGAGCGCTTGTGTGGCGTGTCAGCTTTCGTGGTCGATGATGGTCGTGAAAGGAAAAAGAGTGGTATGATGGTGAGCGCCTTGATCTTGACTTTGTCAATCAATTTGGGCCGAGTTAGGAACATTTTCTTAGCCGCTGGGTGGTCCTTTGAAAATCTCTTAAACAATCGGCCATCCTCCCATGAGGCCTAAATCCAAAGACCACTGCCAGGTCTAGGATTGATATGGACATTGGACCAACTCCAAAGTCGAAAGTGTTGGTGGCATTGTTCCAAAGCATAAGCGCTAAGCCCAGAAGTGGAGCACTAGCTTTAAGCTGTTTGGTGCTCCTTAATGTGACTTGATAGATCCCTTTATTAATCTAGGACTGTTTAACATGGGTTTCCATCCTTTTCACTCAGTCTAAGCCCATAAATGTTCACGCTTGTTTATTTCTACAAAAGGGAAGAAGTGCGTGTTGTGTGAAAACACCCCAAGACCTTGTCGTTTGATGGACTATGCAACTACCACACACAAGCCACATGAAGATAAAGCACACACATCAACTGAAAAGTAAACACACACACACAAAGAACACAAAAATTTATAGAGGTTCGGCATTGTGTCTACGTCATTTTTGGTGATCCCCGAGAAATTCACTAGTAAGAAAGAACCTCTTTGGTTACAATGAAGAACCCCCTTTTCTCTCTCACAAACTCTAGCTTTCGTTTCTCTCACCTTTGGCTGAAACCCAATTTGATGCCTTAGTTTTTTCTCTTGCACTCGTTAGATTAAACCCTAGCACTAAATTGCCTATTTCTATGTTATAGTACTTTATTAGTACAATCATACAAAGGAATAGGAAACTTAAAAGACCCCAAAATTAGGAAGAAATCTGTTCTAATTCACCACGAATCCGGGCTGGATTCGCGCCTCCCACTCGAACGCCTGTGTCTGCTCGAGTTTGATCTCCACCCCATACATTAAAATAGTAGAGCCTCAGCCTTACGCTGGATGGTGGAGGTTAATATGGCATGATAGATCCCATCTTAGATTTAAAATCATCCATTAAAAATGGAGTAATCTATTGACCCAAAAATTAATTATGTCAAAACTTATGTATAAAATATAATGTCACTAATTCGCCCCCATTTATAACAATAGATAATACGTGTTTAATATGCTGTATTACATACACAAAATAGCTGCAAGGTAATATCCTTCATGAAAGTGATCACAAGATAAATGTATTCTTTGAGAAACTATTATTAAACACCTTGTTTTGTTTCTCATGCATAAATTTTTAAGTATTCATTCATGCGGGTGTATTTCACTTCTGGGTAAAGCTTTGAAGCTTCTCCTTCTTCTCCGATTTCAAAGTTTGTCAGAGCGCCTTCATAGAACATGTGGTAGAAATGCCCCACTCCTACCTGGCCTGCATAGTCCATACCTGAAATATAGTATTTCATATCAAAAGAAAATTACATATATAATTAAAGATAAAATATAACTTTCAAATAATGGCTAACCACATAAGCACCCACAGCTCAACATTTTACGATTTTATAATTTCATTTATGGATTACTTTAAGGTGTGAAATTTCTGCTTAGAGCTTGTATTAGCTAGGTTCAGGTTCTTGGATTTTAGGCACCACAACTCAAGAGTTAAAATTTAAAATATGAGTAATGAGTCAGAGTCTGATCGATCTGCACAAAATAACCTAGGAATTTTAATGTGCTGAACAATGAAATCCATTCAAGGAGCTGATTGATTGGCGAGGTTAACCATATATAGATGCGAGTTGATAACTTTCGTGCATTCAATAGATTTCATATGATATCATGCGTACCTTTCATAGAGGCAAGGAAGTCTTCTTCTGAAATGGAGATATGTTCTAGCTTCTTGCCTATTAGGTTTTCCCACATCTCGACCAATTGTTTTTGACTGAGTTCGTTTTCGGGCGGACGAAGATATAATGTTTTGTTCAATGTGCGCGGATCATCTATTGTTTTGATTGTATATGCTGCGATGTCATCTTCATCCACTATAGATACTGCACGGTACATGAAGATGATCAACAGAGATGATTAATTCAATGTCATATATACATAAACCAGAGTATCTGTATACTCTATCCTGCATAATAGTAAATGCCTATGAAGGTGAAAAGTGGTGTTTAATTTAATTTATTAGTTTTGTTGTACCTTTAGCTTTACCATCTCCATAAATAAGAACTTTCTCCTTTGGAGGAACGAGTGTCTCCATCTGCGAAAGGTTGCCGGCTAAATAACCAGCGAAGCCGGCTCCACAGACATAAGTGAAGGGGATTTTAGCATTTTGTATTGCTTTTCTCACTACCATTTTATCATCAAATGTAACTCTTCCAGGTTCAAGTGCATGTCCCATACGTGCTGGATCAAAACCGAACTCTGATGGCAAAAAACGCTACACAAAAAAGCCAGGGCAGGAAAAAAGTGATATTTATGAGTTTGTAATCAGTATGTTAATTTGGTCACGAGTCACGATAAAAAATATCAAAAAGATCATTCACATTTGTTATTTCGACTAAAAAGACAAGTCTGACTCCTATATAAAACACTGTCTCTTCCTCAGCATAAATTGGCTGAGGCAATTAAAGTCGTGCGCTCTATTGTACAATAATATCAAGGGAGTTGATTTTCTCATCCCTCTTTTATTTACTTACACTCCATTTACTTGGAAATTGTATGTTCTCACTTCTCTTTTATCCACTTACACTCCTTTTTTTGTTATAGTAAAAAGTATATAATTTTTTTTTAAAGGGGGGAGTATAAATGGACAAAAAGAAAGTGGGAAAATCAGCATCCTAAATATCAATTGTGGTTTCAAATATTGAAGTAGACCCTAATTAATGAAAAAGTTAAACCACTAATAATTAAACTAAATCGTTTTGACAAAAAAAATATATAATTAAGCGAAATCATCAACGCGGTCCAGCCCAATGGTAAAGAGCCTTAACTTGAAGACCAGTGATCTCATGTTCAAACCAGCATAGCACCTTGGTAGTTTGTGTATGAGAAACCCCGCCCCTTGTAGTTTAGTTGCATTTATATAAAACAAAAAAAGATAAATCATATAATTCATATACGGGGAAATAAAGCTATCTTACTAGATTATTTGAAACTTTTTTTATGTGATCGTAACACCATTACACAAAGAAATGTTACAGTGTGACTGCCCTATTGTCATGTGGTACTATCAATCCCCTCATAATTCGTATATCTATTAATTAATGTTGTATCATAAGTTCATGAAATATCAATCATGTCATCCAACTAACACTTGAGTTAATTAGTAACACCATAACACCACTTGTTACATACCCAATAAATTTTATGTCACGTAGTGTTACTAATCCATGTGTTATAATATAAGTGCACAATAAACAAACCCTATAGAATAACATGAGAGTAAAAATCTTTTGAGAAACAAAAAACACATAGAGCAAATGAGCATCCACCCTTGCTTTATTCATGTATATATGCCTAATACAAATAGGATCTTTGGCCACAGGTTGTGTGTGACTGACACTAGCACTGGCCACGAGTATATCCATGACTTATATGAAGCTCTTCTAGTAGTGTTTGTACCTTAATATTTCCGGCTCTTTTGATAGCTTCAACAAGCTGGAGCTGCAGCAAAATGTTGTGACTCCGAATATGTACCCCAGATATGGGGCAGATGACAACATCAACAAGCTTGACAGCACGGACAAGGCTTTCCAGATCAGAAAATGAGCCCTCCACAAGGTGAGCCCCTTGCTTCTTGAATGCCAAGAGCATTTGGAGCTTATCAATGTCAAGGCCAATCTCTGGCCTTTGAAGAACATACGTTGGGTGGCCTTGGGATAGGCTTGCAGAAACAATCCTACGCCCCAGGTACCCAGTACCACCAACCACAAGCACCTTGCACTTTTCCATATCAATCTAATTGTACCACTTTTCCCTCTGAATGTGTATATATATACCTAGGGTTTTACTTTTGTATATATAGCTATAGACACAAGAAGAAAAACATGGACAAAAATGTCGAGTCAGGGGACTACATGGACTACAATATTCCACGTATTAAGAATTTTAGAATAGTGACGATGCATGGTAATGTGCCCCGTTTTGGTAGATAAACTAAAAATGTCAGACGATGACATTGCACCAGCAAAGCTTGACTAACCTAATGATGACCAAGTCAAATCCCACTCCACGAAGGCGACAATTTTCTTATGAAAAATATATATGACCAATTTTTACGTAATGTCATCGCAAAGCTTGGTATGAATTAAACACCAAAAACAAAAATAAAAAACAAAAAAAGAAAAAAAAAGAGAAAGAATCATTAAGACATGTTTTGGAAAAAGTACTCTCGATAGATATTTTCCCAACAAATAAATGAATTGGTCCAAATAGAAAATTTTGGGCAATTTGCATAAATATCATATATGAACTTTAGCATTTTCAGGATTCGAAAGCTAGTTAGGCAAAACTTACATACTAAATTTGACGGTACGAGTGAATTTCATTAATAAACATAAAAATATATACATAGTCAGAGATGACGTAATGAGCCTTACTCTCAAATCCATCTCTATCCATAAGAAGTTCAACAAATACAAAAACTAAAACTAAAACCAAAAGTAAAATTGCAATACAAAATAAAACAACACTATTTTAAATCTAAAATTTAACCATGCAAGGCTTAAAACTCTTAAATTTCTCAATTATCGATGTATTGACAAAGTCTCTTTCATCCTTAAATAAACCTACAATACTCAATTTTAATGAGACCACCTGGATGGGCAGGATGTGTGTAGAGTTTGCTTTTAATATTTTTACATTTTGGACTAGACTTATAACATATATAGGGTTTTTATTTTTTATTAATTAATTAATTAATTTTAAATTTTGGGATGGGCGTGCACCCAATCTGCCATGTGCACAAAACTGCCCTTGCATGTGTGTCATTATCACTTGATCTTTTAATAATTGTTATTTTTAACCACCTTAACTATATAAAGTGTTGCAATCCACCATCTACGTCTAACTTCGTTAAAGTTTCCGGGCATTTCCATCAATTAATTATAACTAAAAATAATTTAAAACGTATTAATTATTAAAAAAAAAAAAAAAAAAAAAAAAAAAAAAAAAAAAAAAAAAAAAAAGTTAAGTTTATTAAACAGACTTACCCCTAACCCTTACCCTTACTGACGCAAAAGTTGCGCACCCTATGTACGTATGTACACCGTAGTCCATATTTTTGTTTGTCTCTTGGCGTGAGTTGTCCCTCGCTTGCATTTTTTAGGGTGTGGATCATATATATAATAGCCTATGGTTGTAATATTTTGGGGTATATATGCATGGATATTATTCATTTCTCCAATATCTTGCAAATACAAACACCCAGACTTTCAGTTCATAGTAAGCTCACTCATTTAAGGAAATGAAACCGAATGCCTTTTTTTTCTTTTCCTTCTTGTCAAAGCATAAGAGAAGAATGCAGAGTTGAAATAAACGTTTAGATGAGATTGATGATATTTCTATAACCGTACAATATTAAGAATTCCGAGTGCCACAATGTTCATATTTATATGGAAATTTGAAACTCATTCGTTGGAAATTCAAAAGGGATTTGACCATATGAACTTAGGCACATATGTGACACATTATAGCATTAATATGTTGGACCAAGATAGCACAAAGATGACACACAAAGGGGGGGATGCGGCTACACTACGGCATGGGGGTATTTTTGTCACTCTTGTGACATTTTTGATCCTATAAGTGTGTAGCTATGGTATCCTATCATCCTAGGGTTTTCAAGTTGGTGAAATTGGAAGAGAGAAAACATCAAGCTCTCTCTCCCTAACCCCTTGAATCTATCACATCAAGTGAGGGTGCTAGCACCACTCTTCACTTGTTGTCTACTAATTCTCTCATCTTCAATCCTTGGTAAAGAGCTTTGGGGAGGTGCATATATTTGTACCTATTTGGAGAGCTACAAGGTGAATAATCAACATCAAAGGGAGAGCCAACAACAAAGGGACCACTCCCTCTACTTGAACACCATTCTTGGTTTCAAGATTCGCTCCAAGGGCATGAACATCTTATCTTCATAGACTTATAAAGATTGGGACTAAATGATACTTGCATGAATCCCTAGTTTATTTAATGCTTCCGCTCCTACTTTGATTTCATATTAAATATGACTTGCTAGGTGATTTATACTCTCAAAATTTGGTTGTAGAATTTTTAGAAATCTCTACACAACACGATACCCACAATATTCCCTACAGCTACCATGTCTATGTCAGTTCTTGGTTGTCTTGATTTGGTTGTGCCCGTTTCTGGTGGTGATACCTTGGTTTCTAGGGTAGATTTCATGGCTCCTAAGCACCTTTGCACTGATTCCTATTCTGACAAACCTATGAAGACCGGTCTAGTGGGGTCTCCTAGGAGCCTTCCTTAATGTGTTATTGGAGCATTCGTGGGATTGGCATCCAACAAATGCTTTTGTGCTTGATCTTTGGTTCAAGTTAAGTGGCTAAGGCCAGTTTTGTTAGGGTTGCATTATATTTTCTCAATTCTTCTCTCAGCATACCTTTGATTATTCGCCTGTCTTAAGGACTATGGATTCATTATTAGAGGTTTCCTTGTCAGAGTTGCGGTGATACAGTGTGTCTTTGAAGATTTTTTGTTTTCCTTTTTTCTTGGCTTGCTCATTGTCTTTTGTCTCTCTTGTGTTGCTCCCTGTAGACTTCGCTATTCGCAAGGCCATTCGTTATTAGAGGTGGATAAAGCTAGTGTGCTTTGTGGGTTCTATTTGTCTTTTTTGGAGATTTGGTGTGTTCTCTGTTAGATGCTCTCACTATCTTATGGCTGTGCAAAAATACTATGATTTCATAGAAGAACTCTTTTAACAGTTGTGTTGTGTTGATGTATTCTCATTGGAGGTCTTTGTGTCAGTGTTATTTTTCTTTGCTTTTGTATTAGTCTTACATGACTGCATCAGACTCTTTTGTTAGTCCATAACATGTGTGGTACTCTTTCCTACGATGTGGTTTGTTCCCTATGAAGGTTTTAATGAGGCCACTATATCATGTCCCTCTATTTACGTCATTTTGATTCTATGAATGAATTCCATTTCTAAAAAAAAAAAATCATAAATAAATAAATAAAAATTACGTTATTTGCTTATTTTCTTTACACTCATGTACGTATTTTGCTAAGCAGGTCATGATATGCAATTTTTATTTCTCATGCTTGAAAGTTTAGACCAATTTTCTTGAGTTTTTGTATCAATTGAGCAAACTACAACAGCTTGATTGGTCAGAGTGTGCACTATGAATTGTTGCAGACGTAAAACATCTCATGTCCACAAATGTTATTATCTTTGTTTATAATAGTTGATGAATTGAATTGGAGTCAAGGAATGACAATACATAATAGGTGATTAATAGAGCTCGAAATGTCCATAAACACTTTGTTTTGTTCTCATGCATAAATTTTTAAGTATTCATTCATGCGGATGTATTTCACTTCTGGGTAAAGCTTTGAAGCTTCTTCTCCTTCTTTTCCTATTTCGAAGTTTGTCAAAGCGCCTTCATAGAAAATATGGTAGAAATGCCCCACTCCTACCTGGCCAGCATAGTCCATACCTGAAATATAAAATTATAGATTAAATGTAACTTGGTAATTTTCTTGCGTTCAATAAATTCCGTATGATACAAACCTTTCATAGAGGCAAGGAAGTCTTGTTGCGAAATGGTGATATGTTCTAGTTTCTTGCCTATAAGGTTTTCCCACATATCGACCAGTTGTTTTTGAGTGAGTACGTTTTCAGGTGGACGAAAGTACAATGTTTTGTTCAATGTTCGTGGATCATCTATTGTTTTGATCGTATATGTTGCAATGTCATCTTCATCCACAATAGTCACTGCACAGTACATGAAGAACATCATAAAAAGACGATTAATTCTATGTCATTTATACTTCAACCACACCTGAGTTGCATTTGCATGCATAAAAAAATATAGAAAAAAAAAAAAGGACACGTATATTATATATGTACAGAAATTCTCCTATGCGGCTGTCTGAATGTTATTATCTTGCGGACGCCATATATTTTTTATTACTCATCCTTACTTTCCTCCTTGTTTACAATGTCATCCGCACAATAATAACGTGTAGACATCCGAATGAATAGTAAATTTATATATTATTAGCCTGCATGCAAGGTAAATTTATAATGAATGCATATGGTGATGTGGCTTTTGACTTAATTCTTTAACATGTACCTTTAGAGTTGCCATCTCCATAAATAAGGACTTTTTCCCTTGGAGGAAGGAGTGTTCCCATCTGTGAAAGGTTGCCCGCGAAATAACCGGCAAAGCTAGCACCACAAACATAAGTGAAGGGGATTTTAGCATCTTGTATTGCCTTTCTCACCACCATTTTCTCATCAAATGTAACTCTCCCAGGTTCAAGTGCATGTCCCATACGTGCTGGATCTAGGCCAAACTCTGATGGGAAGAAACGCTACACAAAAATGCCAGGGCAGGAAAGAAGTGACAAATACAATGAGCAAATGAGCGTCCATCCTTGCTTATAATTTGTATATATGTGCCTAATACAAATATAGGATGTTTGGAGAGATTAAGCTTTTTCGTACCTTAATATTTCCGGCTTCTTTGATAGCTTTGACAAGCTTGAGCTGCAACAAAATGTTGTGACTACGAAAATGAACCCCAGACATTGTGCAAATGACAACATCCACAAGCTTGACAGCATCAACAAGGCTTTGAAAATCAGAAAATGAGCCCTCCACAAGATGAGCCCCTTGCTTCTTGAATGCCAAGAGCATTTGCAACTTATCAATGTCAAGGCCAATCTCTGGCCTTTGAAGGACATAGGTTGGGTGGCCTTGGGCTAGGCTTGCCTTTACAATCCTTCTTCCCATGTACCCAGTTCCACCTACCACAAGCACCTTGCTCTTTCCCATTTCGATCTAGGGTCTTTGCTTTTCTTGCAAATATTAAGAACAGAAGAGGCATATTTATATACACTTCTCACAATATTTTCCTTTTCAGTCACAATATTTCATATGCAAGCTAGCTAGGGTTTTTATTTTTTGTAGTACAGTACAAGTTACTCTTTATCTATCAGTTGGTGGGCTAGGTAGCTATAGACACAACAACAAAAAAACATTGACAAAAAACTGTCGACGGTGCACTAGACGCATAACACAAGGGTAAATATCACACAAGTTGTTGATGTGTTTAGGTCATCAAGTTATGAACCTCCAAGTCCATGCCCTCCATTGATTTCAAATGAATTTAGATGACAAATTTCAGATCACGTCCCAGCTAATAATTGATGTATTGCATAATATTTCATCTCTTTTTTTCTTTCTCTGACTTGTGTGGTAGACACAGTCGGTGTTTTCGCAGGCTGCTCAACTAATTCCATGCTGGCTGAGAGAAATATTCGTTTGGTCCTCCTACCAATTGTGTCAGCCTCATGTAATCATTGCCTAAATTTCCTGAGGCGGCATGATCAAGTAGAAGTAAAAGCTTTAGTGGTATTCTTTTTCCGAAGTTGAAAGATGATTCAAGTTTCAACTTAACACCATGCAACCCATCAAATTAATTACTGGGTTAAAGATATCCATGAAGAAACTAGCTATATGTAACGCAAAAGCAATTGTTTTCGTCTGCTCCAGCCCAAGTATATATCCAAATTAAAACAGTACAGCTGATAAAGAAGATTTATTTTATTTTCAACAGTACAGCTTATAAATAAGATTTTTCCTGAAAGATCTAGGACATCGGCCAAAAGAACAACTTTGCACCATCCCTTGCTGCAATGCACTCAACTTCTTTCTTTGCCCAAATAAAATTTTAGTTAGAGTTTTTAACCATAATAGTCCCTGAACTTTATACCCGAGTTCCTTTTTGGTCGTCCAACTAATTTTCATGTCATTTTAGCCCCTCCAGCTCTCTCATTCACATCAATTCCACTATTTTGTTGCATTTCGTCTCATTTCGTCAATTTCACTGTCTATTTGAGGGGTAAAACAATCGATTCAAACACAAGTATTCTTCTAAAATGACTGACACAACTCTTGACCACCCATTTCCCCCAAATTGAAACTTTCATTCACGTATCTATCTTATTTCCTTCAAATTGAGATCCTAATTCACCAAAATTCTTAGAACCCCAATTTAGCCATAATTTTACCAATGATGACTTAGAATGGACTCAAACGTCGAATTTAGCCTAAAAATAATGTCGCGTGCTATTCACTGGATTAAAATTAACAGAACATGGGACAAAATGAATGACTTGGCATCAATGATGAGTTAGAGGACCAAAATGACACGGAAATGAGTTGGTGGACTAAAATGTATAAGTTCAGGGACAGGGGCCATTGCGATTAAAATTCCATTTAGTCAATATGACAAGATTAGGAGCCGATAAGATTTGTTGTTCATCAAGTTTTAGATTAATTATCGATTAAACTAAAACACCTAAACGGACTGAAAAATTATAGAAAAAATTACGTACCAGTTTCTTTTCTAACAAAATTATAGAAAAGTTATCTAAAGTTGGTGGACCAGCAGCTATTGAAACATAATCAAAGTATTAATGACTATTCTTGAAAAAGAGAAGATCATTGCATTCCCAAATTTGAAAAACATTTTGCGACGTATGTTCTATTTTCACATTTGGTGAAATACACAATTGATAGCAAAACTCACAGTCGGTCAACACAGAGCTATTCAATCCTACAACAATGGTATATATGTAGCAGGTATAGAATAGTGACGATGCATGTCAAGGTGCCCCATTTTGGTCAACAAGGGCAATTTGTTGGTAAACGAAGAATGGCGAACGACGACATTTGGCCATCCCAAGCCAAAGCTTGTCTAATCTAATGACCAACTTAAATCACACTCCACAAAGGCCATTTCCTTATGAAATTTCACCATTTTTGAGGTAAGTGTGATACTGTGGTCCTGTTTGGGATGGCTTTTTATTTTTTGGGTGCTTCACTAAAATACCCAAAATAGGGCTTGAAATTATAAACAAAAAAGCCCCACATGGAATGCACTTTAGAAACACACCCGAAACTCATTTACTACATAAGAAATTGGTGTTGAAGTTTCTATAAATTATGTGATTGCCATTGATCAACTTAAAAGAAGCCGAACACAAAAAAACTTAAAAAGCACCCAAAAAAGCCCAGCCCAATTTTATAACGAAAAAAACCCAAACAATTCATTACAAATAAAACGTCTTGAAAACCGTAGCTTCATTAACGCGTCATGTTGATTAATGACTATAATGTTCCACACCTTTATTGTCATGTTGATTAATGGCTGTAATGTTCCAGTATAGAGTAATAACACTGCTAGTTTACTATCATGTTGATTAATGACTGTAATGTTCCAGTCTAAGGTAATAGCACTGCTAGTTTCCTATGACATCCTATTTCTAATGCATGTCTACCCCTGTAATGTTCCAGTTACCCTAGTTTCCTATGACATTCTATTTCTAATTCATGTCTACCTTTGTAATGTTCCAGTTATCCTAGTTTCCTATGACATCCTATTTCTAATGCATGTCTACCCCTATAATGTTCCAGTCTAGGGTAATAACATTATTAGTTTCCTATGACATCATATTTCTAATGCATATCTACCATTGTAATGTTCCAGTCTATGGTAATAACATTGTTAATTTCCTATAACATCCTATTTCTAATGCATGTCTATCCCTGTAATGTTCCAGTCTAGGGTAATAACATTGCTAGTTTACTGTCATGTTGATTAATGCTTGTCATATTGCTATTTCCAATACATGTCCACCAAAGAAAAGATGAAGAAAGAACAAACCAGACCAACTCAAAACAAGCCGAGCCTAAATTGTTAATACTATTATGTCATAGAAGTATATTGTTAATACTCTGTCATAGAAGTACATTGTTAAACAAAAATGAGATCCATAACTAAAATAGTAACAAAAAATAAATCGATCATCAAAGCTTAAAATACAATCCGAAAATCAACTAAAATTCGAAAGAGAAACACATAATTGAAGCAAAAGATCAAAAATCTCAAGTCCAAAGCAACCTATGAGGACAATGACGACGACGACGATGACCATGATGACGACGACGATGACGACAACATGGCAAAAGAGGAGTAGAGCTTGAAGATGAGGAGTAGAGCTAAGAGCATCTGATCAAGGTTCATTCGAGGCTCCGAACAATCCGAAAAAAAAATATATATATATATATAAATAGAAGCACAATTTTAGAACAAGAAATCGAATGTGAAATATTGAAAATTGTAGATAAGAGATGAAGAATATAATTGGACCTGAGACTGAGTTTCAATGGAAGCTCCTCTTGCTCCAACATCGAGAAAGCACCAGCATAAAAGGAGAAAAGGAATCAAATTTGGTTTTTTGATAGATCTGATTTTTCTCTCTCAAAGCCAATATAAGTATTTTACACACACAAATAAACTAAAAAATAGCTTAAATTGAAAAAATTGACAGTTGTCGATTTTTTATTTTTTTTTGGGTGTGTTGTACGATATTTTGTTTTTACCTATTTTTCAAAATATGTTTTTAATTTATAAAAAGTGTACAAAATTTTCTATTACAAAGTAACATATACCTCATTTATCCGGGCTAGGTACGTTATTTTGTAAATATGCTTTCAAATTTATAAAAAGTGTACAAAATTTCCGATTACAAAGTGACATACCTATTTTTGTATGAAAATAATGTATCTATTTTCTTTAACAAAAATAGGTATAAAAAAATTTCATTTAACCGAGCTATGTATCTTTTTTTACCTTTTTTTAAATATATATATATATATAGAAATATTGTACCAATTTTTTTCCTCTCATAATTAATAGGTAAAAAATAATAATAATCATTTATCCGAGAAATGTATTTTTTTTATACCTATTTTTGTTATATAAATGTACCTATTTTCTTACATAATAGGTATCCAAAAAAATAGGTGCATTATTTCTATATAATGTACGAAACCAAAAAAAAATTAATTAATTTCTATATAATGCACCCAAAAAATATTAATCTATTTGAGCTATATAATTTTTTTTTAACTTTTTTTTTACAAAGTGTCATCTAATTAACATAACTATTTTTCTATGAGTATTGTACCTATTAGAATATATATTATACATATACATCTATAATACTGGAGAATATTAGGTAATGTTTAAATATAATAGGAGGATATTAGACATAATATTTAAATTCATTTATTCGAGCTATAGGAGGTTAGGAGAGAATATTTGAAGTAATTTGATTGTAGCCCATTATTTATGGGAGTGGAAACATAAATGTGCAGTGAGGTATTATTCATTTGCCTTAGGTGATTGAAAAACGGTTAGCATCTTGTAAGTAAACCAACCTCCATATGGACACATTTTATCATAATTTAAAATTGAGTTTTACTTAAACATTGTATTATTGATGGAATATTGTCTAGAGTTTTTGAATTGTAAAGACTTATTTTAATATGACCCTTAAAATTAACAGAAAATAGGACAAAAATGAATGAATTGATATCAATGAGGAGTTGGTGGACTAAAATGTATACGTTCAGGGACAAGGGCCATTGCGATTAAATTCCTTTTAGTCAATATGACAAGATTATGAGCCGATCAGATTTGTTGTTCATCTAATTTTAGATTAATTATCGATTAAACTAAAACACCTAAAAGGACTGAAAAATTATAATAAAAATTACATACCAGTTTCTTTTCTAACAAAATTATTGAAAAGTTATCTAAAGTTGGTGGACCAGAAGCTATTGAAACATAATTAAAGTATTATTTGATTATTGTTGAAAAAGAGAAGATCATTGCATTCCCCAAAATTGAAAAACATTTTGCGATGTACGTTAAATTTTCGATTTTCACATTTGGTGAAATGCACAATTGATAGCAAAACTCA